TCAACTCTCTAACATATGTGCTTCCCAAGAAATAGCAAATTCACAAATTAAAAAACACCACATTGTAAGGCAAGGATTCAACATCTTTCCCCAAAGATTACACATTAAATTAAGCTCAAATGTATTTAAATTATCAGCAACTATCAGATTTTAAAAATATGAAGAATTATTAATTACCAAGAATTATTAAGAATATCAAAGCTGTTTCTTTCTGAAAGCCTGAGTAATTTACTGACAATTTATAATACCTAGATAAACCTATGAGCTCTGCTGGAAGAAAGCGCAAGAACAAAGTGACCAAATTCTGTGCAAGTAAATATCTACTCTAACAGATACTGGCAAAAGCAATGGGTCCAGGAATGCAGATCCTATACTAAGTATGTTTTCTACACTTCCCAAAAAATTAACACCCAACACAACAGATTTCTTCTGATCATTTTCATATGTTCAATTTCTGTTTTAAAAATGCAAACAGCTTTAAGACTGAATTACAACAAGATCTAAAGATTATTTAAAGTTGCTATTGTTAAAGAAGCAGAAAAAGCAGGAGGCACAATACACAAAGTCAAAAGGCTTTTTGTACCTTGTTTCAGGGAAGTCAGAAGTCAATTCATGAGTACTGGTAGGGAATGAAATAACCATAAGAAATGCAAGTAGGTGACCATCAATAAGCAATTTGGAAAAACTGTTTAGGAAACCAAAAGTACAGGAAAGGTTTAAATTTGACCGTTCCCCACCTCCGCCCCAAGAAAAAGGCAGTACAATGAAAGAAACAAGGGACAAAGGAAAAAAGACTCGGGCTTCAGCTTACAGACTCCCTGGTCCAACTGACAGTACTGGACACTAAGCAGGAAATATAGAATCAATTCTAACTAGTCTAAAAAATCAAATTAACCTGCATTTTAAAGATAATGTCAAATGCAAAACAAAAAGAATCCATACCTCTTCTAGTTTATTATCACTTGATTTCTGAGTAGAACTATCTAAGGATGGCACTCGCTTTGATTTTTTTTCATATTCATCAATATCTCCATTTGACAAATCTTTTCTTCTCGACTTCTGAGTTTTAGAAAACTCATCTGAAAGTCTATTACATCCTTCCTCAGTGTCTCCATTTAGCTTCTCTTTCATTTTAACTTTTTTGGGCTTTGGAGCATCCAGGTCATCTGCAACACCATTTTCTCTCGTTTCTGATTTCTCATCTGAGTCATAATGGTGCCTTGATTTCCTTCTATCACTCTGTGGAAAAACAAGGAAGCAAGGACAAAAAGGTCACAAGGTCTCCTTTTAAGACTCTAGAGAAGTTAGAGCACGACTCCTCAACCAGCAAAGCTCAGTCTACCATTATCTTGAAAAGTTACCTGGTAAAATCCAGACTGGTTGCTAACGCCAAGCCTGAGCCTCATCTATTGCTTGCTTTCTCATCCCAACTCTCACATTCTCAAAACTTGGCCTCTAGTTTTAATCCCATCATAAGATTTAAGGGAAATTAAAATAGCTCCTTTTCAGAAAAAGAATGAGGAACTGAGATTTATAAATTAAAAAACAACCAAAAACTTCCAATATCTCCAAGAGAAAAAAATTAATATTTATTGAGTACCTACCCCAGCATTGTGTTATGTGTTTTCGGCTTATCTTGTTTAAATCTTCATAACAACCCTATAAGGGAAGCACAGGTCCACAATCCCTTATCCGAAATTCCGATATCCATAAAGCTCTGAAAACCGAAAGTTTTTTTGTAATTTATTTGGAGACAAAACCTTACCTGACCTGAACTCATTTGGTGGCAAAATTTGACTTGAACTAATGTGAGTCTATTTATAATTTTTATTTATTTCACTTAGTACAAATATTCATATTTAATATTAAGGTGTTTGATTATAAGCTGGGGGCCCCAAACCCTACTGGGGTGTTACCTTTCTATAAAGAGCCCCAGAATTCTGAATGCCAAAACAGATCTAGCCCCAAGGATTTTGGATAAGGGATAGCGAACCTGTATTACCTTTGCCATTTTACAAAGGAAGAAATAGAAGTTCTTAGAGGTAAGTAACTTGCCAAAGACCCACACATGGGATTTCTTGCAAGTAGAAATGCTAGAAATCAAGCCCTGTCTGACTTGAAAGCCCAAGATCTCTTCACATCAGCTTCCTCTCTGAACTTTGATAATTAACAGGTTAAAGAAAAACCAAACCAAACAAAACCATATAATTCATATAAAACTCCAACTGTTATATTCCCATGGAAGGATAAGTATATTAGTAATCCTGGAAAAGTTTTTAAGGTTTTTAAAATTTAGTTAATAGAACTTAAAAAAAAAAAAAGACTATTCTGCAACTTTAATTTTAAAACACCAAACTGATGACCAGTGTTTTAATATCTGGAGACAGCAAGAAATGATTGGGAAATTTAGCACTTCAAAATCACTTAGTTAAATGTTCAAAATAAATTAGACAAAATAAATTAGATATTAGTGACTAGTGATGATAAAAACTACACCAAAATTTTTACTATAATTTACACAATTTTTACAGAGTACTTTCATATATAATTTTCTTATCCGTAAAATAGGAGTTGTGAAAATGCTTTGTAAATAAAGCATTTGTGACATTTGTAAAGCATTAGAGCTTTCATTAACGTAAATTATAGGTATATGCTACAACACTTGATCTTTAGTTAACTGAACTAGCCTACATCTCCCCAAACCAATAGGTTCTACAGAAAAACAAGGTTATTTATAGAGCCAGCCTTGGGGCTTGAACTGCTCCTGGGCCCTGCACTTCAGGGAGATGAAGCAAGGTAAAGTGAGACCTCTAGGTCCAAGCCCAGCAATATCCCAAGGTGATAAAATTTGTTCCACATCAGATCCACGATGCTTGACACTCTCCCCTTCCTTGGCTTCCACAACACTCTATATTCCCTCCTTATCCTCTTACCTCTGTCTTCTTCAGTGGTTCTTCTCCCTCCTCCTGCTGTGGACATTCCTTAAGTCTCTGTTCTCTATGCACACTTTATACAATTTTCATGGCTTCAGAATACACTTCCAGGCATCCTTCCTCACCTGTACTCCAGTTCTGAGTACCTAGGGCCCAGCTCCATATCTCAACATATCCAGAACCAAAGTCATCTTCATCTTAGTGCCACATCACTATCTGAATGCTCTATTAGCTGGTACTCCAATCTGTTTCCAAATCTTTAGTTATCTTTCACAGATAAAGGAAAATCAAGCACTTGTGAAGAATCTACAACGTGAAAGCCACCAATTTATAAGAATATAGTGAAATGTAAGGATAGACAAAGATATGGTCATTACTCCTCAAAAATCTTTGGGAAATACTTGGGTAAGACATACACAGGAAAAATGAGCTAACTTTATAAGGAAGCACATAATAAATGCCAATCGAATGATAAACACAGCACTGAAACAAGACTTCAAAGGGGAGTAAGATTACTGTATGTGTACACTGGAGAGGTTAGGACAGACATAAAAACCTTGACAGACGGATAGAATTTGGATGCAAAAGGAGAGGCAAGTATTTCAGGAGGAGACAAAACTAAAATAACTGTTTGGTGATTCCACTTACATGAGTTATCTAGAATAGTCAAATTCATAGAGACAGAGAGTAGAATGGTGGTTGCCAGGGCTGAGGAGAGGGGGCAATGAGGAGTTGGTGTTTAATGGGCACAGAGTTTCTGTTTGGGAGGATGAAAAAGTTCTGGAGATGAATGGTGGTGATGGCTGCAGAACAATGTTAATGTAGATAATGCTACAAAACTGTACACCTTAAAATGGCTAAAGTGGTAAATTTTATGTTATGTATATTTTACCACGATAAAAAATTTAATAGCTTGCTGGAATGGCAAGTTTATCTTGGTGATACGGTGGAAGAGCAGATTCCGCTCTCTGGGGCTATACAGAATATTTTCATGCTTTTATCAAATGCCAGCTTTCAAATACTGCTTCCTTACCCTCCAAAGCTCTGTTTTCTCTAAGTCTCTCTTTCTTTTGAGGGGTGGGGTGGGAAGTTTCTACAACTCTTCTACAGGCTCCTTGGTGCCCAGCAAAGAATCTGGCACAGCTAAAGCTCAATAAATACTACTTGTGGACTGAATGAAAATACTAACAGTAAAGGCTATTAATAATACAACCCACATGATCTCCATCACAACCAAATCCTGGCACCGTTGGCTGTGACACTTTTCCTTAAGCTCTAAAGACTAATTATCGAGGTTTGAAAAGCCAAGATCGCTTTCCCCAAGATTCTTGCACACAGGACGGGGTGACGGAGAAGTAATACATATTCAAGAGAATCATTTTTCTTAATCATCTTCTAAGACAGCCAGCGAGAATCAAATGACAGGCCTCACAGCTTAAGGAAGAAGAGGAAAGAAAGATTCCGCGATGGGAGCTTGAGTCTGCCCACCTCGTAGGCGCCGACGGGAAGGGCTGAGGGGCCACGGAAGGCCGGGCCAGAGCCCAGGGCCGCCCTTCTCCAGGTTCAGGGTGTGAAGGTGGGAATGGTCCAGGAGCGACCTCAGAGGGACGAGGGCGGCGCGCGGGGAGGCCCTCGGATGCTCCGGCCCGCTTGTGACAGGCCTCCAGGGACAGCTCCCCTCCCCGCCCAAGCCGGCGCAGCCCCAAAAGGAGGCGCGGCCCATCCTCAGCGCACCTTTTGCCTCTCCTTCCTCTGGCTCTCGGTCTCCTCCAAGGGTGCCTCCAGCTCCATAATGTCCCCCCAGAGGAGTTTCCCAGGCATCATTCGCCGCCGCCGCCTCCCTCTAGGCTCGGTGGCCACAACCACCTACAGGCAGCGACAGCGTGAAAGGAAGCGGGGGCAGGGCGGCCGCCCGGCCAGGGCCGTGCGTCACTTCCGGGACACGCACCGCACGGCGGGGGAAAATAATCCTGGATCCTCTCAGTTTAAATTCTTCCCTTGCGACGCAATCTCCCAGCCAATGAGTGTGAGCAGCCTCGACGGGTCCACCCTTGTTCTGAAGTGATTGGCTCCTAGAGTAAAACCCTGGCCAATCACGATAAAGGACGCGCGAGTTGATTAGCATAAAATGATTCGGGCTTTTTTTCTCTTTTTTGTCCCCCTCCCCCACCCCAAACATTTCTCCTCCGCACCGCGGAGGCGCTCGGGGCCGTCAGCAGTCGCTGCTCAGTTCGAAGAGCCCCTCAACGGCGGCGCACTGGGGCCTGCGCGCGGCGGGCGGGCGCCTGGACAGGCCCGTGCCGGGCCATGCCGGCTGGGAGCGCCACGTGCCCCCTCGCCTTCCGCCGCCGGAAGCTGCAGGCCTCGGCCCCGCCCACTGCGAGGTGAAGCGTTAACGTCTAACGGCTTCGCGCGAGGCCGGAGGCTTGAGTTGTGGGAAGGGGGTTCGTGGGGTCTGGAGTGGGCCAGGTGGGCTTGAGGTAAAGGCCGGGAGTGGACAAACCCTCAAGTCTTACGTTTTAATCATGAATTTGGTCCTTGGTTCATTTTGGGTCCTTCCCACACTCCCCATTGGACATTAGAGGAAACTAAACCCCTAGAAAAGGATTTTACTTTACTGATGGTGATTAACTGCCCCTAAATTACCACCTTATACAAAAGTGGAAAGCTTTTGATAATACAAAGGGTTAATTTCTTAGCATATACTCTCTTACATGACTGCTGCCAGCTGGTTGGCTTTCTTTTCAGAAGCCGTTCTTTATCTCGTCAAGATCTCTTCAACCCAGCTATTCTTGAGTGGACAGCAAGAAACCAAACTGAGATGTAGGTGCAGGGGCACTTCACCACCACTTGACAATGTCTAGCACACCAGCCTTGTAACCAGAGCATCAAACTTGTGTCTTGGCAAAATTACTACTTGCTACATGGGGTTGAGTTTGAGGATTGGTCCTGAATAGCTGAAACCACAAATGTCCAATATGTGATTGCAGCAGGCCTTCTGCATAAGGATGGCTTGGCCTGAAGTCAAGGGCTATATGTTTATCTAAACGCTACCATATGGATCCAATACTGTGAACAAAAGGAGTGTTCAGCTAGCGAAGGTGGGAAAATGCATCTCTCTCTCTCGATTATAAGAATAGCTATGCGTCTCTAGATCGGTGCTTTTCTAAATCTTTTTGCCCCACGCCCTCACACCCACCCCAAGTCTGCCATTGTAAAGTCTTCGTAGCACTACAACAGTATGATGTGCATAGAACACGGGAGTGGATGTGGCTAAGAATATCACACACACAAAATTGGGATAATAATAGGAAAAGATATTAATATGTTGTGGTTGAAGATCAAACATAGATTAAGTAAAGTTTTAGCTCCTCAAGCTTCTATTTTTGGCATTTTTATATTGGAGGTCATACAGCAGGTCTGAAAAAGGAAAGGATTAGACTGTTCGATTCTCCCGTTGCAAGAGGCTAATGAATATATAGTGTTTTACAGAATGACCTCTTGTGACAGAGACATTCTACAAACCTTGCTTTTCTAAGCCCCAAATTCATTGACTCAAATCTCTGGCTGCTATGTCAGGTGGAAAGAGCAACTGTGTGTAAATTAAAGCTAATCATAAGTAACTTGATCAAGCTGGAGCTTAGCTGAAAAAAATGTGGGTACTACTACATGTGTGTTCTCAATGGGTATGAACTAGAAAACTTGGGAATGGGGATGAGGGAATGGAGAATTTTTTTCATATTTTTCCCTCTATAAATCTCAAGAGATTTATTGATGAAATTTATTGGGGGAAACATGAAGGGGTAGCATGAATAATTAAAATGTACAAGTAACTCAAAATATCATCTTATTAGAACATCTTGATTTCCCACACATCTTACCAGAGGCACTGATACAATTTCTTTCTCAAAATTTAAGAGTTTGGGTGCCTAGATGAGGCTCTGTTCCAAGGTTCTATAAAGATTTCCCTTGCCTTTGGCTTCAGTTCATTAAACTTTATGACCTTAAGACATAAAAACAAGATGACTATAAACTTGCCTCTCTCTCGTCATTCTCAAATCTACAGTGCTAGATTTTAATTTTTACTCCATAGTTAGAAAGTAGGCAAAAAGAGCCATCATTTTGCCTCTTTATGTCAATCTTATATTACAAGAGGAATTGAACCATTATTTTATTTTATTTTAGAGGAAGATTAGCCCTGAGCTAACTGCTGCCAATCCTCCTCTTTCCAGTGAGGACGACTGGCCCTGAGCTAACAGCCATGCCCATCTTCCTCTACTTTATATGTGGGACGCCTACCACAGCATGGCATGCCAAGCAGTGCCATGTCCACACCCAGGATCTGAACCAGCGAACCCCGGGCCGCTGAAGCGGAACGTGCGCACTTAACCGCTGCACCACCAGGCCAGCCCTATTTTATTTTTTGAGGAAGATTAGCCCTGAGCTAACATCTGCCGCCAATCCTCCTCTTTTTGCTGAGGAAGGCTGGCCCTGAGCTAACGTCCCTGCCCATCTTCCTCCCCTTTATATGTGGGACACCTACCCTACCACAGCATGGCTTGCCAAGCGGTGCCATGTCCACACCCAGGATCCGAACCGCCGAACCCTGGGCCGCCTATGTGGAACGTGTGCACTTAACCCTTGCGCCACCAGACTGGCCCAATGAACCATTATTTTAAACTGTTATGACATGGCAATAGTTTAAGGGGCTGCTATAAATTGATCAAGAGACATTAGAGGCAGAGAATGAGTGTTGAGAATACTAGGAAGTAAGGAGAAAATGAAAGAGGGAACAGGAGGGATGTTTCTGCCATTGCTAGACACATGACCTTGGTCAACCCAATTCTAAAACCTGGTTTTTGTTATTAAAGTGGGAACAAAAATGCCTTCCCTGCTGAAAGTGCAGGGAAATTGGGAGGATCAATTGATATAACAGTACTACAGAGATAATGTACAAAGGTGCTTACATTTCTACCTTTAGCTCCAGGTTTTGACAGTGTTAGAGCTAAGAGACACCTTTGAACACATTTAGCACATGTATACTTATGTATGTATCTAGCTCCTAATTCAAATTATTTGGAAAAGCTTTTTAAATGTCTAACCTTTGGAGGGAGGTCTGTTTCTTTAGTCAATTGCTTTGTAGATGTTTTGAATCAAGTGATGGAAGGGAGTAGTTCACATCAGTTATCCCAGAAGAGGGCACCATTACCCAAGAAATGGTATCTGCTACTGCTAAAAAGGGAACATGCTTCTAAGGGCCTAAAAATGGGAGAAAAATCTGTAGAGGCCCACAGGATAATCATGAGTTTGTTTTTGATACACCTATTCTTGTTTCGTGACTCTTACGTCTCTCTTCCCCACTCCCTTTAGGCACTAGGCTGTCTTCCCCATCCTCACAAGCCTTCTCAGGAAGCTTGTAGGATGGATTCTCAAAACACAATTGCTCCCAATCTTTTCACTACCATGGGTTTTTCCATTGTTTGTTTCTCATGGATCTGACATTTTGAAACCTTTTTTGTGCTAAATTGCATTTAGTAATAATTGATTCATGGTCATTCTTCTGTGAATAAGACACAGATGCAGCTTAACAATGTCATACAGCATGTGATAGTTTTTCATTATTGAGCTGGTGTAATTTCAGCCACTGCAAAAGAAACTTGACATTTTAGTTAGCAGAGAGTTAGGCAAAGGAAATGAACAATTTCTATGAGGATTTTTGAAATAGTGAAAATAGTTTGCAGAACCCAGCTATTCTCTGAGCATTCTGAGGAGTCTAAGATCACATATGAAAGAGGATGAATCAGATCTCACATAGCATGAATGGCTACAATAAGCCCATGCTTTACATATTTTATTCCTATTTATAGCATAAGGTAGTAACTGCAAATTTGTTAGCCAAAGGCATAATACCTCCCCTAGGCATATTTGGATCTTGATTGCCAATACTGTCCATAATCTTAACATAAAGGACTGAATCTCTAAATGAAGGAATTCCAGACAACCTGGCAAAAAGAGGGGACCTGTATAGTAGGCCTATATTGTATTACCTATCAGGCAAGTTTTGTGAATATACAAATATATAAAAATATACACACATACATTTATAGCAATATTAGTGCCTTTTGCATTGGGCACTTTTGATAGATTATCCTCAAATCTTACAACAATCCTGTAAGGTAGATGTCATTGCTATCTCCCTTTTACAGATAAGAAAACTGAATCAGAGTAGTTTAGTAACTTTCTCCATTACACAGCTACCAAGACTTGGAATTGGGATTCAAACCTGTCTGACTCCTAAGCTCAGGTCATCATGCTGCCTCCACAGAACAGTTTTCTCATTAAAGAACAGACTACAATGGAGAAATCAAGAACTAAAGTTTCCACACACAAAAATTAATTTTGGGAAAAAATGCAAATCACTTAGAGAATAATCTCCAAACAACAATTTAATAACACATATACCCATCTTTAATATCTGTGGTCATATGCTGTGTTTTGTAGAAGGGAAGTTTATTGGTTTCATAATAGGCTTAATACATTTAGAGAGTGTCATAATGCATCCAGTGGCAAAATTAGATGGATTTCATTTGGTCCCTAGATGTGGCTAGAACCACAAAAACCTTTGGATTCCTCACTCTACTAAGAAACTTGTCCAGGTCCAAAATCAAAGATAGAACAGAGTTGCTGGTGCTTCTTTTTCCAAGGATTGGCAAGGATAGGTGCAGAAATGGAGAACTGGAAGCAATACTCAGGAATCTTGCATGAGTTCAGTATTTCACAGGACCCTCACTGAATTTTTTTTTATTGAGATATATTTAACATATAACTCTCACTGAATCTTATAAGCACAAAACCTTACAGTCGGAAGGAATCTTCAAAATCAACTAGTTCAGCCCCTCTGTTAATTACTGGAAATAACCTCTGCAACATACCCGTCAAGGGATCAGCAAGCCTCTGCTTGAATGCCCTAAATAATGGGAAATTCATTTCTTTACAAACATGTCTATTTCATCTACAGATGGTTTTGTCTAATGCGAAGTTCTTCATATCTTTGTCCTAACTTCCATTCACTGATGCTGATTCCTAGCTGTAAGACCCCCTAAAACAATGCCTCCCCTACAAGACTTTTCTCTGAAGATTACCCTTCTTGGTACTTTACCTAGGATTTTGAATGTCCTTATGATCACAACTAATCTTCTTGGAATGCCATGGTAGGTTATCAGGGCTACTGAAAACTAACAAGAGAGAGTGGTACAACCACTGCAAAACAGAGCAGTGAATGTGACCTCCCCACCTATGCACACCCTTAGGGCCTGGAGGCAGCTCTCCACTGCGCTGAGCTTCATTCTGGCCTTCACTGTTATCAGTTTGGTGAGAGTTGGAAAGAGGCACTCTCCAATTATTCAATCATCCTTGAGATTTAAGGCCTTGAGAATCCTTAGAAACCTCTTAGAAGAAACATCCCTTCAACCATAGTCAGCATTAGCATCAACCCAACTTGCCAAAACCAGTTTTGACTTTTCCACGTTCCCCAAACCAAGACAACTGCCTATTCCACTATTTGGTCTGAAAAGCCCTGCTAGAAAAAACTCTGGCAAAGCTATGTAGACCTTATCATGAGCGGAAACGGATCAAACGTAGATGAACTGTCTATCGGCCATCTTCCATCTTTTCTCTAAATCTCTAATTCAGAACCTCCCTTTCACTCACAAGCCATTCTGCTTCCCTTCGATCTCCACCCTCTGAGAACATCCTGACTTCTCACTGCCATGCTATAGAGAGAGCCTCAAATGTGAGGAGGAACCAGAGAAACAGTAGAGCCAGATGCCTACTGCCACAGGTATTTTGGACATTGTTAGTCAGTCACAATGTGGAGCCATTTGTTCATGTTCAAGCTGGTCGCAGAGAAGATCCTTGGCAGCCATGATTGGATGGAAGGAATTCTTGTTGCAAAGTACCTAACACATCTACATAAATTCTTTCTGATAATGATAAAAGACTTTAGTTGCAAACAAAGTATCTATGTAACCCTAGAAAACTATTTTCTGGATTTTTGTGTGAGATCCACCTAACATAAGAACTCAGCATTAGTGTGGGTAGAGAAATTCACTAATGGGTAGTAAATTAACATCCTACGAATTTGAGAAACTAATGAATGTCTGAAAATTCGAGTTAGTTACATTTAATTGGAGAAGGACCAAGGATTCCATTTTTTTAATTGCATACAATCTACATACTCCCAATAAATTCCTAGTAAGATAAGGTTAAAAAAAAAAAGCTTTAAAATCTCAAAAAAGGAAAAAAGCCAGTAACTAGAACAAAATATGAAATGAGATTAATAGCATATATGCTTGGCTTTAGAGAATTCTTATATACTCAATTGACTAAAACATCCTAATTAAAGCTGTACATTTTTACAAAACAAAAGCTTCTAAAAGGAAAATAAGAATTAAACATTTATGACTGGAGTTAGTTGTAGTAAGGGATTGGATGTGAGTGTTTGACTGTTCTTTGTGCCTTCAAAGTTCTGCAGAAAATTCTGTCTTCTTTTTAGTTCATCCAAAATGAGTGAATTATTAGATGCCAGACTCTGTGTCCTAAAGATATTAAAAATAATAAAATTATTTTCTTCAGAAGGGGCCTGGATTTCTAATCAAGGCATTATACCTTCATTTGTTACTTTGAAGCAATATAACATTTACTAACACTAAGGTGGACTGATCAAATACCTTAACCTTTAAAAATCTAAAGTGCTCTTTACATTTTAAAAGCTTCTCAATAGCACCTCAATTATTTGCCAGCTGCTTTCCAAGAAGTTCATATTTTCTGAACATCTGTTCTCAGATGCACTATCAAGTACAATCTAGTCAGAAACAATAAGTTCTCTGAAAAACTCTTCTATACAACTGAAGAGACCAGTATCTTGTGTAATTTATTCCTTTTTCGAGAAGTCATACAGAAGGGAAAAGACAACTATATTTTTCATATTGTTCACTATGTTCCTTTCGTAGGAGCTGTAAGCTATGTTAGGCCCTTATTTAACATCTGTCTTGCTTCAGCCAGGTCATGAAACTGTTTGGGCACTTTTCTTTTTTTTTTTTTTGAGGAACATTAGCCCTGAGCCAACATCCATTGCAAATCCGCCTCTCTCTGCTGAGGCAGACTGGCCCTGAGCTAACATCCATGCCCATCTTCCTCCACTTTACACGTGGGACGCCTACCACAGCATGGCCCAACAAGCAGTGCCACATCCACACCCAGGATCCAAACTGGTGAACCTGGGGCCGCCAAAGCGGAACATGCACACTTAACCGCTGCACCACAGGCCGGCCCCGGCATTTTGCTTTTGACATTCCTCTTTTCTCACCTTACCTCCTTTCCATCACTTGTCCATTACATTAAGCTATGTCTCAAAAATGTGTCCTCCAATAAGTCTTCCCACACACAGCCCATCACTCAACTCTACATCTCTTTCGCAGTTATGAAGCGTCTATGCTTTGTTCTTGAGTTTAATCTGTCTGTTTATTGTTTATTCGTCTCCTCAACTACTTCAATTGTAAGCCTCCTAGAGGTAGCAACAACATCTTGTTCATCTCTGTCCCCCTAATCTTTATAACAATTATGGCACATAACTGATATTCAACTGCTATCTTCCCTCCCTTTTCCTCTACTTGTCTTTAAGGATTATAGTTATAAGTCTTTCAAGAAAACCAAATTATAAGCAATTGTTGAGAAATTAAATTTCTCAAGATTTTGCAAATTTAAATTCTCAATTGCATGTCAAGGAGTAATTTCCCTCATCTGATTTGGGTTTTTTTTTTTTTTTAAAGATTGGCACCTGAGCTAACAACTGTTGTCAATCTTTTTTTTCCGCTTTTTTTCTCCCCAAGTCCCCCCAGTACATAGTTGTATATTTTAGTTGTGGGTCCTTGTAGTTGTGGCATGCGGGATGCCACCTCAGCATGGCCTAACGAGCGGTGCCATGTCCGCGCCCGGGATCTGAACCAGCGGAACCCTGCTGAAGTGGAGCACGAGAACTCAACCACTGGGCCACAGGGCCAGCCCATGTTTTTGTTTTTGATCTTGCCAGACAGAAAGAAAGGGAATCCATGGCTCGTTGGGTTACACCACCATTGTTTACTTTGGAGACAACATGTTTTGATACTTCAAAGACTTAATATGAATTAAACTATTGTTTTAAGCAGAAAAGATCTGTTCCCCAATAAAGAAGTAAAGATATGTTTTAAAAATGCAGACTTCCAGAAATTTAGCTTAAGTTATAAACAAGCAGAAATGTCTGAAAACATTTATATGGAAAAAAAAAATCACTGGAGATTGATTTATTATAGCAAAAAATTGGGAAATCTAAATGTCAAAGGAAGGAAAATACTGGTTATATACGTTATTATATACAGACTAGAATACTAGGCAGCCATTAAAAAGAATGAGCTACAGGGCAAATCTTCCTCAAGCAAAAAGAGGAAGATTGAGGGGCCAGCCCATGACCGAGTGGTTCAATTTGTATGCTCCGCTTCTGCATCATGGGCTTTTACTGGTTCAGATCCTGGGCAAGGACATGGCACCACTCATGAGACGTCCCACATAGCACAACCAGGGGACCTACAACTAGAAGATACAACTACGTGCTGGGGGGCTTTGGGGAGAATAAAAGGAAAAAAAGATTAGCAACAGATGTCAGCTCAGGTGTCAATCTTTAAAAACAAAAAAACAAGGAAGATGGGCAACAGATGTTAGCTCAGGGCAAATGTTCCCCAACAACAACAGAAAAAGAAGGATCTATATGTATTGATTGCAGGATATCCATAAGTTAGGCGAAAAAGGAAAGCCACAGCTCTGTATGAGTTGTTAAAAAATAATTACATTCAGGGCCGCCCGGTAGCATAGTGATTAAGTTCTCACACTCTGCTTCAGCAGCCCAGGGTTCGCAGGTTCGGATCCTGGACATGGACCCATACACCACTCGTCAGGCCATGCTATAGTGGTGTCCCACATGCAAAACGGAGGAAGATTGGCACAGATATTAGCTCAGGGCCAATCTTCCTTACACACAAAAAAAATGACTATTATATTTATAAATGCACAGAAAAATTCTGAAAGGTTATATACCAAACCATAACTGTTAACAATGTTTAGGTCACCTCTATGGAATGGGAATGGAAAAGGTTAGGGAGGAACCGGCCCCATGGCTGAGTGGTTAAGTTCACGCACTCCACTTCAGTGGCCCAGGGTTTTGCCAGTTCGAATCCTGGGTGCGGACATGGCACTGCTCATCAGGCCATGCTGAGGCAGCATCCCACATGCCATAACTAGGAGGACCCACAACTAAAAAAAAAAAAAAGAAAATACACAACTACGCACCACTGGGGGGCTTTGGGGCGAAAAAGGAAAAATCTTAAAAAAAAAAAGAAAAGGTTAGGGAATAAAGACTTCCAGTTTTACTTTTTACTTTTTGGTATTACTTTACTTTTTCAAAAGGAAGTACACAATAATTTTATATAATAAAAAAACTAATAAAGATATATGCCAAACTTCAAGATGACCGTTTAGAAAACTATTTAATAACATGAGAGGAATGTTCATGATATACTGTTAATTGTAACTACAGTCTAAGCCCAATAGACAAAATATATAGATCAATATGTTCAGACTGAAGTGTTGTAAATATACCAAAAAAAAGGATTTTTAAAAAATATCTAGATGGTAGGGTAATTATAGGTGTTTTTAAAAATACTTTTTAGTACTTCTCAAATGTTCCATTATGATCATATTACTTTTATAATCTGAACAATGTTATTTAAACAAATTGGTATGGAAAATATTAGTGGAAAGTAGCCATATCTCTTCTCAACCTGTGCAGAATCAGGAATCTACGGGAACTCCTCCAACGCTCAGTTCAGGAAGTGCTTGGTTTACAGCAGTTCTTTCCTATTAAGGCTTAGTAGTAAGTGGTGCAAACTTTGGTTCACATTAAAAATAAACTCTACCCTATTATATAAGAGATTTCACTGTAACTTTATACAATTTATTCAGTAAAGGCTGGCAGAATTGTCTCATAAAAAGTTTATTCAGGGGCCTCCCTCTAGGTAACTCACTATACCCTTAATTTCAATAATTCCTATGGGGTAGTGGCTAATCAAACACTTTTGTATGCACTTACCGTGGAGAATCTATTCCACTATCTCCTGCCATGCTATGATTTTCTGTTCCTTCCAAGTGACTATGTTCATGCTGGGTATCCTGAGCCAACACTGGCATACGTGAAGTGTTGAAAAGTTCTAACTTCTGTGTGAACTGTTTGCTCACTTCCTGATTCTGAGCACTCTGACTCCAACTAGTTGGTTTCTTTCCTTTGTCACCAACAGAATCTTGCAGGGTTTCAGCTTCAGAAGTGGCCTTCCTTGTGCTATAGTAATCAAATATACTTCCATTAGCAGATGCTGAGGCCTGTCCACATTTAGCAACACTAGGTTCCTCACCATAGTTAAAACTGGACCGGGTCCCTGAATTGAGGCCACAGCCTTCAGCAGAGAGATCAGCTTTTTGGCTCTCACCTGGGTCAGTGAGCAATCCAGTGGGTTTGTAACATTCATTTCCCTTAAGTACCTGAGGCTCAAACCTATGTATTTTGCTGTTGTACTCAGTCAGAGATCGGTCAGTCACCTTTTGTTTTCCTAAATGATTCCACTTGCTTCTCCCTGGAAAGGAATACTGAATGTGGCCAGGCAGTATTTGACATAAGTCATCATTTTCAGAAAAGTCATCCTCATCTAGATATAATGAACTGCAGGCACCATCATCATCTTCCACTTCATTCTGATACAAGGCCTGGTCATCATCAGAGGGCCATTCATTTTCTAGGCTCACAGTCTCTGCTTTCGGGACAAATGCCTTTCTCACTAGTGTTTCTTCTGAGTCTGTGTCTTGTCTCTCAGGGTGTCTCAAATGGTTCACACCAACTGGGTAATCCAAAAGACCAAGATTTTGGAACTGATGCATTGTTTTATCAATTAATCTACAAGCAGAGGATGCTTGGTCTAAAGAGGAGGAACCTTGTGACGGCAGGACATGTTCTGTTTCTTTTATCTCCTCTAATGTGTTAAAGTGAGAATAATTTTTTCTTAAAACTTTAGGGTTTACCTCATTTTCTCCACCATACACATCATATCTCGACATGCTTTCCCTAAAGGAACAGCATTTACTATCATTTTGCAAAACACCACACTGAGAGTAATTTAAGAGGCAATCCTGAAAGTCATCACTGATAGATTTGACAGTAGAATTATTCACATAAATGGATTCTGCCCTCAGTTTATCACTACATTGTTCAGCACACAGCTGTTTGGCTTCACTTTCCAAGATTCTCGAGGAATCTAAAGACCCTGACCTTTGGAAAGGCTCCCCCTTCAGTCCAACCTGACTGGGTTTCAGATCACTGGTCTTCCGAATGGTGTGCCCTTTGGTAACTGAGCTCCCTCGGTGAGACAAACCCTGGAAAGGATTACTGATTCGCTTTTTGTAAATCAAATGGGAACCTAGCACTGAAGGATTCTCACCAAGTGGTTTCTGAACTCCTGCTTCATTTGGGCTCTTAATTCTGGGGGTGGACTGTGTAGGGAGGAGCGTGGGGCCTTTCTCCAGCCTAATGCTTCCTGGCTGAGGCTCACTTCCCTGACTCCTGCCTTTGTGTCTATCCCTATGAGAATGGCCCCGCCTTTGAGGCTTTGCAGACCGGCCCTGCCTCTTCTTAACTCCCTCTTTTGAAGGATATTTATGTTTGACTGTCAGTATATCAGTGGAAGTGCCCTGACTATTATATTTTTTCTTTTCTTCATATTTTTGCATTAGGACGGTATGTCTGATTAAGTTGTCAACAGTCAGAACAGGATTAATTCGTTTGATTATCTCATGTTCGATGTCTCGAGGGATATTGTCCAAATTATCTTCATCTCGGACAGGCCATTCTTCTGGTGGGAACTGGGCAGAGAAACTGCTGTGCTCTGTTCTGGACTTCTCCTTTCTGGATATACTGCGCCAGAAGAGGCTAAAGCCAAACTTCTTGCCTTTTTCTCTGTCTTTTGTGTATGGTAAAGGTTTGGTTCTCTCACAGACGTGATTCTCCTCAGACAGTGAAACCACTCGACTCTGTACCAAAGCTTTGGATTCCCCAAGACCTTTCTGGCCTTTTCTAGTCACTTCTGCAGCAGCTGGTGGTTCCTGTACTTCTAGAGTGCACACTTCAGGGAAACACCGGCAAGACTGACAATGGGACACGGAAGCAACATTTTCTTTGGCTAACTCTGCACAGCTCTCCATGCTCACCAGATATGTAATACAAGTTGGCGTCGGGTGACTTTTATCTGACAGGACTCTCTTATTTTCCTGGGGGGTTGTATTTGTGATGAAGTAAGTATGAGGAGTAACTATGAAGTATCCTTCTCCAGTGTGATAAATCTTCCTTTCTTTAATCAGAATCCCCAGAGTGGTATGGAGAATATCTTGAGATGGAACTGCAATGCCTAAAACAAATAAAAATTTTAAAACTGACAGATTTTGAATAAGAAACATGTTAATGAGTGAAATCAGTAACTCAGAAATGACCACACATTTGTTTGATGAACACAGAGCTAACTGTAACACAATATTTATAATTACAATGCCAAAGAAGCATTAATAATCATAATTTAATTGAATAATAGGAATATAATTTGTCCACACAAAACACATGGCTAGGTTAATGTTTCAGTACAGGAAAAAAATCTGAGTTCACTCAAATACAAACACAAAGTTATACAACCCCATTATAAATTTAAATTTTGACTAAGGAAAGCATTCTTGACAGCAAACCATGGGAGTTTTTGAAAACCAGTCTCACAGCTTAAGTCTTAACAGGAATCTATAGAGAAAATGAAACCAATCTGCTTGGGTGAGGGCAAACTACCCAACATGTGGATTACAGTGGTTTTTCAAACTGAGACAGTAACAAATAATTTTAAAAGAAATTCGCTTTTCCAAATAGCAGGATTCAAAATTATATTGGTATTGTGAAAATAATGTTAAAAATGTTTTATATAACACTGGAAAAAAATACATCAATATGTTAACATAGGTTTCCTTTGGGTGGTGGTACTGTAAGTGGTTACTTTTCTATATTTCCTGGATTTTTCTACAATAAATATATTTGTGTTATGATGGGAAAAATAAAAAATACTGTTCTACATTCATGCAGAATGAGATCAACATATGCTAATGTGGAAAGATCTCCAATATGTTGTGGATTTTTTTTGAGGAAGATTAGCCCTGAGCTTATCTGCTGCCAATCCTCTCTCTCTCTCTCTCTTTTTTTTTTTTTGCTGAGGAAGACTGGCCCTGAGCAAACATTTGTGCCCATCTTCCTCTACTTTATATGTGGGACACCTGCCACAGCATGGATTGCCAAGTAGTGCCATGTCCACACTTGGGATCTGAACAGGTGAACCTCAGGCCACCAAAGTGGAATGTGCATGCCGAAGTGGAACGTGTGCACTTAACCACTGCGCCACCAGGCCGGCCCCTCCAATATGTTTTTAAGTTAAAAAGGGAAAGGTGGAGAGAATGTATAGAATGATCTAACTTATGTTATAAAAAAGGATACATATACTCAAATACAATTTATGAAAGTATACATAAGAAGCTATAAACAACAGAAGGTGTCATCTCGGGGAAGTGGCAATGAAGAATAGGAGGCGGGGGGAGAAGACGAACATTTCCTTTTTGGCTTTGCACCCCCTTCTACAGAGTCTGATTTATTTATTGCCATAAGTATTATTTTTAAAAAGGTCATATGGAAAGTAAAAGAAATACCCTTATCAAGTTTGTTGATGTAGGCCTTTGCCTGGCATGGCTCTAATATATAGTTCTATAATAGAAAAAAAATTGGATATCACCCAGTTTATTATATGTTTAAGATAATTTGTAAACAGAAACCAAACACATGCAATGAATAGAGCAAATACTCTACCTGGGTAATGTTTCATCAAATGCTCCACCAGTGATTCTTGCGTTACTACAATCTGAGCGGCATTCATATCAGATATAACACAGCAAAGAACTTCAGCCAGAGGTACAAACTGAGACTGAGCGACTGGATTCATTTGCACTGGAAAGACATCACCTAAAGTGGAGATTAAAAAAAAAACAGGAAAGGTGATAAATTTGATGTAGTATAAAATATTTGGAATTAGTGAATCGAGGATAGTTATAAAGACTGAATAGCAGGTGGAATTGCTATTCTCTCCTCAGTCTTTATTCAGAATCTGTTAACATGACATGCACAGTGATAGAAACTATGGAAGAAAAAGGTTTACCTTGTGGTCCCTACTTTTAAGAAGTTTGTAGTATTTGTCACTACTTTACAAGCAAGAGATAGTAAGTCTCCATATGAAAGGCACAAAGTGCTCTCAGAGTTCAGGTCAGACAATGCTTGTATGGCAATTAACATCTTTCAAAGCATTTTTTTCACATTAGCTATAAGAGACAGGCAAGGATGGAATTATTTCTTTATTTAAAATATATAAAGCCATAGAGGGGCTGGCCCCGTGACCGAGTGGTTAAGTTCGCGCACTGCGCTTTGGCAGCACAGGATTTCACCAGTTCAAATCCTGGGCGCGGACACAACACCACTCGTCAGGCCATGCTGAGGTGGCATCTCACACACCACAACTAGAAGGATCCACAACTAAAATATACAACTATCTACTGGGGAGATTTGGGAAGAAAAAGCAGGAAAAAAAAGATTGGCAACAGTTATTAGCTCAGGTGCCATCTTTAAAAAAAAAAGCCATAGAAAGCTCAAGTAATTGTCCCAAGGTCTAAATGCAAATGAAGTAACAGAAATAAGTCTTTTGACTCCTAATCCAGTATTTTCATCATGAAAAATTAAAAATATAAGAGGTACCTGAAAGAAAAGACTACATAACTGTAAATAAAAGTCCAGTGGGTAGCCCAGTGGTGCAGTGGTTAAGTTTGCATGTTCCACTTCTCAGGGACCCGAGGTGCACAGGTTTGGATCCCAGGTGCAGACACGGCACCGCTTGGTAAAAGCCATGCTGTGGTAGGCATCCCACATATAAAGTAGAGGAAGACGGGCATGGATGTTAGCTCAGGGCCAGTCTTCCTCAGCAAAAAAAGGAGGATTGGCAGATGTTAGCTCAGGGCTAATCTTCCTGGGGGGAAAGTCCATCAAGTTAACAACTTTACAGACACCCCCATATCTACCTTCAGAGGAAGTCTCCGTATGGGCCCCTTCCAGAGTTAATGAAACTCTTGAGATTTTTTTCTGATAAAATGCTTAAACAGCCAAGGGGAAACTAAAATTAAAAATTTTAGAGTTGTTTAATATTGCCAGAAATATTTACTGTTTGACCCCAGCTGAAAACTGGTAAGATATTTAGAAGGATTTATTTTTTTGTAGCTCTATGGTCAAAAATTGGCCAAATTAAAATCTGATATTCAGAACCTGATAGGAATTTTTTATAGGCCTTCTTGCCTAGGCCAAAATAAACTGTATACTCAGAGGGAGAGAAGCAAATTGGCGATGATGTAGTTGGACAGGCAGATCAACCTATGATGTCATTTAAGCTACAACCCAATTTCTGAGGAATTGAGAGCAACTGTCCTTATCTTACAAATATTTGCAAAACTGGAAATGCAGCTCTAGAGCAATTCAGATTCTACCCATTCCCTCTCACCAATTCCAACACCTCCTACATTTATCTCAAAAGGCCTGTAGCCTCTCTAGAAACTCTTACTTAGACCAACCCCAATTCACAAGACTGAAGGGGGACAGAGAGGCAAATGGCTATAGATGTGCCCTTGCCCAAAACTGAGCATCTTTAAAGTCTCCTCCACAAATATTAGTTGGAAAAAAAAAAGTTTTAGCCACCTAAACAGGTAATCTTAATTTATTCCATCTGCCAGAAACAAAATTTGGATCCAACTATACTTTTATAACTAGTGAGCTTTGGATTACTGTACCTGATTTACAGCAATTTTAAAACAATAGCTATGGTGTCTCTATGTACGTGTGTCTATATATACATATGTTATAAATGTGTGATATTTTTCTACCTCTGGATGGTATTATCAAATTTAATTTGTAGAGAGCTCTACTTAATTGGCTTAAAAACAAATAAGCACTATATAAATTGAGTATACTCTCAAAAATATAACTGAGGGGCCCAGCCCCGTGGCCGAGTGGTTAAGTTCCCGCACTCTGCTGCAGGCGGCCCAGTGTTTCGTTGGTTCGAATCCTGGGCGTGGACATGGCACTGCTCATCAAACCACGCTGAGGCAGCATCCCACATGCCACAACGAGAAGGACCCACAACGAAGAAATACAACTATGTACTGGGGGGCTTTGAGGAGAAAAAGGAAAAAAATAAAATCTTTAAAAAAATTTTTTAAAAGTATATATATAACAGAAATTAATCCAGGGGCTGGCCCAGTGACATAATGGTTAAGTTCACATGCTCTGCTTCTGCGGCCCGGGGTTCACGAGTTCGGGTCCCAGGTGCAGACCTATGCAGCGCTCATCAAGCCAGGCCATGGTGGTATCCCACATACACAAATAGAGGAAGACTGCCACAGATGTTAGCTCAGCAACAATCTTCCTCAAGACAAAAAAAAAAAAAAAGAAACTAATGCAAATGAATTTCAGGATCACGTGATCCAGGAAAATATTCAATATTAAAGCTAATTTAAGTTTGTCAGTTTTATTAAAATAGTCACATCTTCAAAGTTATCAATATTGGATATAATGAAAACATGCAACTTTTATTCTACCTGGGTTGTTAGTCAAACAAGCTCATGTTATCTGTTACAGAATTTGCCAGCAAGGAAAAACTAAGACGATGGCGAACTGCTTTAATGTCCCATGAGAATTTCATAAATAATCTAAGTACGATTGTCAAGAACAAATGAATTATATAGACGTTAATGCAGTAAAAATTTTTAATTGCAATAATTATGGTTTGTGGTATGTATACTTAAAAATAACTTCAAAACGTTTTGGCAACTTGAAATTTAGAGTTTTGCTAAGTTAAATTAAATGATGGGAAATTCACTAAATTCCTAGATCATTTCCAGATGAGATAAAATATTAAGCATTATTGGCTTTTTTTTTTTAAAGACTGGCACCTGAGCTAACTTGTATTGCCAATCTCCTTTTTTTTTCTTTTTCTTTTTCTTCTCCCCAAAGCCCCCCAGTACATAGTTGTATACTCTAGTTGTGCGTGCCTCTGGTTGTGCCATGTGGGATGCCGCCTCAGCGTGGCCTGATGAGCAGTGCCATGTCCACACCCAGGATCTGAACTGGGGAAACCCTGGGTCGCCGAAGTGGAGTGCATGAACTTAACCACTTGGCCACGGGGCTGGCCCCTATTGGCTTCTTATTACAGAAAAACTAAAAGATGTTTAGATCTATTAGTAAATATGTCTTGTACTATGTTAAAAAAAGTTACGCTATGAGAAAATGTGTTTTCAGTAAAAAAAAAAAGGAGGGGCAAAAGAAATGGAAATATTTTTGTTAAAAAAGTAAATTTGTTCTAAAGTAAAAAGTTGTGGAAAAGAAGAAAGGACAAATTCTGAATGTAAAAAAGAAAGTTATGGGAGGTTTGTGGAAGAGGAACCCTGAGAAAAGAGTTTTGTGGCTAAGATAGGAACAAATTTAATTAAGTAAACTAGTTTTAACATCAAAAGTAAGCTGGAGCAAAATTAGAATTTGGTTTTCTATTAAAATTGTAAGGTTTTCTTGGGCTTTTAGTCTGCTCTTGATAAAGAGATTATGAAAGTTTTTTCTTTACCTTTGAGTGGCCTACCTAAATGGAGGGATATTATGTTTTATCAAAATAATTTCCTGTATTGTTTTGATCAGATCTTTAATTACAAGAGCTAAGTTTTTTCTTACAACCATGTAACTTCCTGAATTTGCCTGAAAGTCTTTAATTCTCACCATGGTTAAAAGGATAACTAAACATTGTTTCACAGTGAACTATGATCCTATTTGACCAAGTGTTTTAAAACATTTTGATATTTTTTATGAACTTCCCAAAATCAGATTCTAAATAAAGTCTTTTTGACTTCTTGCTAACTTTGGGATTTTTCAGAGGATCCCTGAAACATCTCATAAGATTTGTTCTCTCTCCTTATAAAAAGAAAGATATTAGGAGCCAGCCCCACAGCCAAACGGTTAAGTTCATGTGCTCCACTCCGGTGGCCTGGGGTTCACCAGTTTGGATCCTGGGCGTGTTTAGCTCAGGGCCAATGTTCCTCATCAAAAAACTTTTCAAAAAAAAAAGAAGGATATTAAACAAATTAGGCTTATCTGATATGTTAAATTACATGGGAAGCTTTGTCAAATAAGTGATGATAAACCTTCTTGGGTTATATTGTGTGGGTGAATATTATTAATATCAATGTTCTAGAAATTATACGAAATTTTAAAAATTCTCCTATGTCCTGGTATAATATTATCACTTATAAGTCTAGTTACTATCTTAAAATGTGTATGTCATAGGGGCCGGCCCCATGGCCGAGTGGTTAAGTTCACACGCTCTGCCGCGAAGGCCCAGGGTCTCGCCGGTTCGGATCCTGGGCGCGGATGTGGCACCGCTCATCAGGCCATGCTGAGGTGGCATCCCACATGCCACAGCTAGAAGGACCCACAACTAAGAGTATACAACTGTGTACTGGGGGGCTTTGGGGAGAAAAAGGCGGAAAAAAATAAAATCTTAAAAACAAAATGTGTATGTCATAAAAATAACCAAGTTTGTCAATTGCATTATAATGTTAAGTCTTTTGTCATTTATGGATAGTTACGGTTTAATGATCCCTTTGCAAAAATGTTTCATCTTCAGGGAGATTCATGGAAAGGACTGTGACACTTACTCCAGAACACAGGTTTCTGATAAACTTTCAGATCATAAAACTGAACTGGGTAAGAAATTACAGAACTCTAACAGAGAGACTGATGGCTTCATAAAACTGCTAACAAAAGATCAAGAATAAATATTAATTACGTCGGACTACATGAACTGAGGAGGATGCTAATGTTTTGTTTTTCCAAACTTAAAGTAATATTTTCTCTTAGGCTATCAACAATTTGGTAAGATATACCTTTGTGAACAAAGAAGGAACATTTACTTTTTCTCCCTACCTGATCCCTGCAGAATTCAGAAACTGAGTGAATATTCTTATTTTCATTTATATAAATAATCAGGCCAAGTTTTAATACAAACAAATTAGTTTTACTGTGATTATCTTTGGTTAAAAAAAAATGAGGGTAACTGTAGAGAGAAGAATTATGTTTGCACCTCTGTAGATATTAGACACCAGTTCCACTAACTGCCTTTGAGATTTCATTATCTACCTGTAGACTGGACTCTCATTGACTGTTCACGGTACCCCCTTTTGGAAAACATAAATTCACTCATAAGTCACCTGCAGATCAATGTCTATTGGTATGCAAACTTCTACTGATTCCTTGTTGTCTTATGCTAGTATAACCAGCTCTCTAATGTCTTATGCTCAAGCCTATCATCAACAGGTTAAAGAAGCTTTCCTGGATCCCAATTTGAAGGATCCTGTTGGGCACAGTCTAGAGCCTAGTGACTGGGTATTCTGGAAGCATCATCAGAGGAAGACAGCCCTAGAGCCCCATAGGAAAGGACTTTACCAAGTGCTCCTGACCACTGGCACTCCTGCAGAACTAGAAGGCATTGAACCTTGGAGACACATCTCACAGCTAATGAAGGCTCCACCTGAGATCTGCTCCTGTATAAATGCTGGAGACCTCCAAATCTAATTGATGAGGAAGAAAAGCAGCCGACATTAGAGGCAGACAGCTTTCCCAAGATGGCTGGACCAGGTCTATACTTTGTAATCACTGTTGCTTCTCACCTTATTTTCTCCCTCTCTTTCTTGGAAAGATAATACTCTTATTGGCATCTCCCAATCTATTAAAAAAGGGGAAAATCTTTCTGACTATTGAATTTGTCATCAGTAGCCTCATTCTGTACATGAATCTAGAGAATCCTTTAGTGCATTTAATTACCAATCTGTCTACCATTCCTCCCCAATTCCTTGTGCTATGTGTCTAGAACTTCTCACCTAACTAATCAAACCTCCAGAGACTTAAGAGAGAACATTTGTAACTGTTGTAAATACTTCTTGTTTTGCTTGGGTAAACACCTTTGGCAAGCTAGAGTAAGAACAGAATTCAGGCACAAGCCAAATGGTTAAATGCAGAGCCCACTGACATCCAGTCTTTCTTTGATCTCTTTAGCTGGCTGCCCTCATCTCTTTAGCTGCTTGATTCAGGTCCATTCTTCAATTCGGACTTAGCATTTCATTTGTTATTATAGTAATTCTCATTGTAAAACTTTGTCTCCTCTGTATAGCTCGATGTTATAAAAACACCACTCGAATAATGGACACTCAGGACTTTGAAATGATTACTAAGGCTTATGAAACTTCACAGAACGACAGAAGATGTTTATCCTTAAAAAGACTTGAAAGGAGAGCTTTATTCCGCTCTGCGCTCTTGTTGCTCAACCATGTTCTAAAAGCTCCTAAGGAAACCACGTTCCCTCCTGGGTGGGACATGACTACCAGGAATGAACCTTCCTGGAGATGAGGGACCAGTGATGCTTTGATGGCTGACGAGCAATGTTTTCCAACAGTTGATCAGCAATGCTTCCCAGTATTTGATCAGCAATGCTTTTGGAAAGATATTGATCAAAAGGGAAAAATGTGAAAGATGACATGAGTGGAGCCATATTAAAACAGAGCTGGAGCAGCCATTTCAGAGGAATTGTCTTGCACATCTTGTTTTCTTCCAAACTGGACCAAACCACCAACATTCCAAGAAGTCAATAAGGACAAGAATATCTTGTTTGTGAGGACTGATGAAATTGGACTTTAGCTGATGACTGAATCACTGGCCAATCAACAAAGTACAAATCTAGCCTTAACTCATCTAGCACCAGTGGACTTTTCTTTAATACAACTTCATCTTCCTCCCTTTTCCCCATAAAAACCCTGAGCCCCTCTCCTGTAATCAGGACACTATTTGGGTTTCTACCTGAATCTGTGCTCCCTAAACTGCAATTCTTTCATCCCAAAATAAATGCTTCTCTGCCTCTCATTTGGCTCTTTATTTTTAGGTTAACAATATCTATAATTATTTCAAAATAAAAGTTAAAAACATTTTCAGAAAGCACTACTTTTAGTTAACAAGCAGAAATGTATGAGAAACAACTTTTTTCCTACATTTTTTTAAAATTCCAAATAACTTTTTAAAAAGAATCCTAACACTGCTTCCAGATCCAAAGACATTCTTAGAAATTTTATTCATTAATTCCTACCACGGTGTGAGATGTGATTTTAAAAGAGTAAACAAATCTATCAATTAGAAAGACAAATTGCCCTTTTTTCTCCTTAAAAGTAATACAACTATATGTCAGCTGCATTTTAGAGAACATGTTAAATTGCATTTAACCTCTGCTTTGGAGCTTCCTCTAGACAAAGCCTAGAGAAAGGTTCTCAACGTGTCTCCTTCACAGCCGTTGCTAAGACACGTCTTCAGGTGCGTAAATCATCAGGAGATTTTTGTGCAGAAAAGCAGAGTAAACCCTGATGGGAACATTTGTGACAGAGTGGGGAATCATTTTTAAGCTACAGCCACAGATTGTTTCAGTTACTTCTGCATTTCTTGGGTTTTTGGAATAGTTAAAATACAAAAATTAACTTTCTCTGTTAAAGATCCCACTTACAGATGTAACCAGACTTCCCAATAAAAGAAGGCTAGCTTTTTGGCTTTATCCTCAACCACTATGGAGTAACGGAAGAGCACCCTTAAGTCCAAGCCTGCTGTGGACCTCTGTCTGACCCTTGAGCTGGAGCGGAGATGAGAAGGCTAGGAGAGGCTGTGGGGCAGAGTAAACAGCTCACAACAATGTGCTCTCTGTTTAGAGTCTTGTACTCTTGGTGCTGGGGAAATGAGAAAAGTGTTTAGGCTGAAAGACCGGTTTCACAAAAAATACCAACAAAGGAGAACCATATAGATTTGGGCCTGCTACATTTAACGCCACCTTTTCGCAAAGGACATTTTTGTTAATTTATTGATACCTTGCTGTGTTTCCAAAGTTAAAAATATTTTGGTATATAATTTTTTTTTAATTTCCAAGCTATGATGAGGCAAATTACGATGAGTTTTAAAACAATTTTTCTTTAAAAGTCCACCTTTTTGGGAGGAAAAAATAGTGGAAGGCAAATGTATGTAGCATGTAGACACCCAACCAGCAAATGAAAACGTAAAGCTCTTAACTATCAGAAGCTGATGAGGGCCAGCCTGGTGGCACAGCGGTTATGTTCGCATGTTCTGCTTCTCGGCAGCACAGGGTTCACCGGTTCAGATCCCGCATGCAGACATGGCACCACTTGGCAAAAAACCATACTGTGGTAGGCGTCCCACATATAAAGTAGAGGAGGATGGGCATGGATGTTAGCTCAGGGCCAGTCTTTCTCAGCAAAAAGAGGAGGACTGGCAGTAGTTAGCTCAGGGCTAATCTTCCTCAAAAAAAAAAAAAAAAAAAAGCTGATGACAGGGGCCGGCTCCCCAGCCAAGTGGTTAAGTTCGCGTGCTCTGCTTTGGCGACCCAGGGTTTCACCAGTTCAGATCCTGGACATGGACATAGCACTACTCATCAAGCCATGCTGAGGCGGTGTCCCACACGCCACAACTAGAAGGACCCACAACTAAAATATACAACTATGGACTGGGGGGATTTAGGGAGAAAAAGCAGAAGGAAAAAAAAAAGCTGATGACATTCAGTAAAGTCCAGGGCAGGCCCCTTATAGCTTGGGATCCTAAAATGTGACTACAATCAGCCTCCTGTGTGAGGGACATAAATTCACATAACCCAGGCAATCAATCCCGGCCCCCTGGTGCCTAATGACAGTGGCCTAGAAGGCCCCTGGCCAATAGGAGCAGAACCCTGGAAAAGTGTGGCTTTGCTCCTGGAGTTGGTGACAATAGCTCAACAATAACCCGGTGCAATCAAAGACCTCATCAAAATTCTGAGGAAAAGGGGTGGTTTCCTTATGTCAGGGCACAAAGGCCTCCTCCATATGCCTCAAGTGGAAGGCCTCTAGAATAATACCCTATCCTGGCTGTTTTCTATCAGCGAAGAAAAGCGGCTGAAAGAGACATTTCCTGGCCAATTCATGAGTCGTGAATACTCATGCCCCATTGCAAAATGGTAAAAGGGACCTTCATGACAAATATGGATACAGCAAGATTGCCTTTCACCAGGCCTAGAGAAGGCAGCTGGGGTAGACCAAGCAAACCCTCCCTGAGACTGCAGAGAAATCTTCGACCAGGGCCACTGAACTCCTAAATCTGCCAGTTACAGAGCATCAGCTGGAAGCTTTAGGAAAATTAAAGCAAGCCTAAACTTTGCACTGTCATAAATGGGAGCGCTGGTGTCAGCACAGTGGCCTGTCCAGCAAGGTTATCTTCCCCAGGGCTGGTGGGTGTGGGGAGCACAGGCCAACAGAGGTGTGACAGTGATCGGTCCCAGCACCTAGTGAAGATCTGAGGCAAGGGCAGCAACCCCTGAGTTCAAATGATGTATTCACTCCACGTCTTGAAGGTGATTATCAATTAGTTTAAGGTGAGGTTTGGTATCACAACCATTTTAGAGGAAACAGCCAGATGCAAGAAAGCACGTGACCTCAGGTGTCCAGGTGAGAAAGGCAGAAACAAAATCACTAACTATCGTGCAGTACTTTCATTTATATTTTTAAGGCATCTAAACAAATTCCAAGAGGGCCCCCTCATGGAATCTAAATTCTGACATTTGAATTCAGGGGGTCGCATTTGATTTTAAGGTCCATAAGAGACTGTGCTACCAAATATGCAAAACAGAGGAAAGATTTCTTTGGAAATCTGGAAAGCATCCACATGAGAACTTTGTTGTGTCATACTAAAATGTGAATTTGCAATAAAATTCTAGGCAAAACTAATCCTTACATTACTTATTTCACATTCAAAACAAAATTTTCTCCACTATAAAAATGTTTAGTCCCTATACAAGTGTGTTTACGGACTCTGTGCTGGGCAGTCTGCCAGAAATTCATGCATTATTGACCTTCAAACGGTTTAACTGAGCCGCTCAAACTCAGCTAATTACCCGGACACATGAAATCCGAGACCGTCTTTCTGGGCACCTGTATTGAATCACTGTGGGAAAGGTATCATCTGCGTGCATTAGAGATGACAATAGAGCCTGAATGAAACAGCCTGCAGATACACTCAAGTTTAATCAAAAAGGATGTTTTGTTCTAAGTAACCCAAGAAGCTTCCCTGATTTTAAACCACACTTTCACCCAATACAGAATTTCCAAGTTTCTTTAACATTAAAATTAATCTGGAACTTTTTAAAAGATGAAAGCATCTTGTAACAAAGTGCATCTTATCAGAGATAAGAGGCTGTGCAAAAATTTCCATGGCTTTAAATAATTAGATCTATTGTGCTATAATTTTAAATAGGTTCAGAAAAGCAAACAAAATGGGAACAAAAAGAAGAAAGGTTTCAGGCCAGCAAAACCAAGCCCCCTCTCCATGCCTCCCTTTTATTTTAATAAAATAAAAGAATGCAAACACTTTCCTCCGCATTTAGAAACAAAAGAGTACCAAGACTCAGAAACCGGCTGTAGATCTAAGGGTCGTCGGTTATCTGCCACGGAGGCTGAAATCCCTTCTCAAGCACAGTGTGTTTATTTTGGACTCCTGGACAGACGGCTTCCCTTCTGGGAATGCCCTCTGTTGATAAAGCTAAAGGCTTCCCTCAGAAGGCTGGGCTGTTAAACAGCAGGAACCCTTAGCGCTACCTTCTTTAATAACCACACTTCAACCTGTCAGGATTAGTAAATCAGCAGCCTTTTCTTTTCAAGCAATACGTCCACTAATGTCGACTATCAGTTGAGGGGGAGAGGCCTTGGGCCATTTATGACGGGACCCCACGATTTGGTTGTCAGACACGTGGATATGTGGAAAAGACACAGAGATGGCTCTGCTTCAGGGAGCCCCTCCAGCCTCTGGCATCCTTCCCCCACGACCACCACCCTCACTTCGGGTAGAGAGGCAGGGACACCTGGCTGGGAGGGAAGGATGCGAATGACTCAAATCAGCTGATTTTTTAAAAACACTAAAACTCATTCACACTCAGCCCCAAAGCCCTCCAGCCCCAAAACTTCCACTTTGGATACGTTAACGACTTTATCCAGGTGTGTTAGTTTGCTAAGGCTGTCAAAATAAATTACCATAAGCTTAATGGCTTAAAATAACACAGATTTCTTATCCCACAGTCTACAGGTCAGAAGTCCGGTGGGTTACTCTGCCGGGTCTCGCAGTCTGGCTGTGACCGGAGGCTCTGCGGAGAAATCTGCTTCCATGCTCATTCAGGTTTTTGGCAGAATTCAGTTCCTTGTGTTCGTAGGACTGAGGACTGAGGTCCCCATTCTCTTGATGGCTGTCAGATGGGAGCCTGTCCTCAGCAACTTAAAGCCACCTGCATTTCCTGTCACGCTGCCCCCTCCATCCTCAACACAGCACCAAGTCTTCTTCACACTTCAATTCTCTCTGACTTGCTCTCCTGTTGCTGTGTGTCTGCTTCCAGCCAGAGAAAGCTCTCTGTTTTGAAGAGTTCACGTGATGAGATGGGCCTACCCAGATAATCCAGGATAATCTGGCTCAAACCTATAACCTAATGACATCTGCACAGTCCCTTCTGCCGTGGAAGGGAACACATTCCTAGGTTCCAGGGATCCGGAGGTGGACATCTTCGGGGGCATTCTGACTACCACAGCAGGAATGAAAGGGGCAGGAACAGCGGAGGAGAGGCACAGGTGGTAAACCGGTCGGCCCTGCGTCTCCGTGGCTGTGCAGGAGAACAGCCTTTCTCTGCCCTCCAGGCAAACCTGGGACTAACCCAGATCCTGCTATGTGGCTCCGAGTGAGGAAGCCACCGCTTTTCTCTGGGTCTCAGTTTCCTTGTCTGTAAGTGTAGGGCTGGGCTAGATCAGCATTTCCTAAAACGTGTTCTGTGGAAAATTCGTTCCACGAAATGCTCTGCAAGAA